GTGTCAGCGGGGGTGCCACTGGCCTGGCCACAGTTCCACAGCCCTGCAAAGGGCTGGCACGTGCCTCTGATACACTGCTGGAGCAAGAGCCCTGTGGGACATGTGTGTGCATGCATATGTTTATGTGTGCGCACGTGGGCATGTGCAGGTGTGTACATGTATGTATGCATGTGTGTATGGGGCATGTGGGGCATGTACATGTGAGGATGTGTGCACATGCACGTGTATGGGTGTGTGCACATTTGTGCATGAGTGTAAGGGGCATGTGCATGTGAAAGTCTGTACATGTGTGGATGTGTGCACATGCACATATACGAGTGCATGCATGTGCATGCATGTGTGTGCTCTGAAAAGCTTCCTCTCGCAGACTCACACTGCCACCAGGAAGCACTTCAGAAAGGCAGCTAGAAGGGGCCGGAACAGCCCTGCCTGTGCAGGGGTGTGGCGGGAGTCCCTCTGACTGGGCTGGACTGTAGGCTGGGATTGTGACGGAGCACATGCCGTGCACACAGCACAGAGCCCGCCAAGGTTGGAACTTAAAACAAGTGACTTTTATTCATGTTGGCATCGCTTTTCAAGTATGTGAGTATCAAAAGAAAGGGCTTTGGGGGAACGGTCACACCTGATGGTACTCAGGGCTTAACTCCCCCACACACGTTCTGGCAATGCTACTGAGGCCGGGGATGGAATCCCTCTCTTCAGCCTTTCCATCAAAGCTAATTTTTCAAATATGAGGGGTCTGGGGATGTAAGTCAGTAGTTCTCAAACTCACTGCTGTGCCCTGGCACCCGGTGAGTGCCACAACCACAAGTGGGGCCCCTAGACGTGGTAGCACCAATACAGAGGAAATAATGGAACAAACATAAATAAAACCTGGGGCCAGGGCCAGGGCTGGAGGGCTGAGCCAGGATACACTTGGGAGGGCCGCCTTGGTCCCTGAACACGAAGCTGGGGCCCAGAGTCTAGAGTCCAGATTCCCGGCCGGAGCCTCCACTCTCAGGCCCATGTCCCCTGCTCCACGCCCCTCCCTCCATCGCAGGCCCCCTAGGCTGGCCCCCGCCTGGCTCTGATGCGGGGAGCCTCCCCCCAGGAAGAAGAGAGTGTGAATCAAGTTCCCGCTGCATGGCCCAGGCGGTCCCTGTGCTTCAGTCTCTCCTCGGCAGAAGCCACTTCTCTCGCATCCTGACAGCCTCTCTGCCCTGCTTTAGCCAGGCTTTCATTCCTCAGCACCTACAGACAGGGCTGAGGAGGCAGGAACCAAAAACATTTTCATAAAAAAATGCTGACACAACAGTACCTGTCACTGGGTCACTGCGCATCCAAGGCATATTCTGTGTTAAGTGGCAGGAACTGGGATGGGGCAGACAGATGGCAGGGAGGGAGCTTGCCTCGCACCCAAGCACTGCCAGGAGTAACCCCTAAGCACCATCAGGTGTGGCTTCCCACAAGAAATAAAATTTCAAAAAAGCTGAAGGCCAGCAGATCCTCCATGCTGGCAGTTGAAACCCGGAAGCTGGACAGTGCCTGGCCCGTCGCTGAAGGGAGCACTGTGGCTCATTCAGTCGGGTCTTTCCGGGAGGAAGTGGCAGCGTTGGAGTCTAACATCAAGTAGATTTAAGCAAGGGGTCGGAGAGATTTACAGCTTTGCAGCCAACCAGGGCTCAATCACCCGCATCGCATATGGTCCCCCAAGCACCACCAGGAGCGATTCCTGAACATCACCAGGTGTGGCCCCAAATCAAGCCAGACTAATAAACAAAAAAAGATGTCAGCAAATTTCCTATATAGGGGTTATCGCTAGCCCTGAGAGAGACCAGGGCCCGGTGCTGGCGCCAGGCTGGCAGGTGGCCAGCCCCCTCAGAGCCTTCTCCAGGGCAGCCGTGTCAGTCACCTGGCACTGAGGCACAAAGCAGTTATCACTGCCCTGACAGCCCTTTTGTTGGGAATGCTAATTTGTGTTTAGCGCTGTCCATCACTCAGAAGAACTCAAATGGCCGCTTCCAAACCCAGTAGCCCAGTGGTGGCACATGCTTTCACGTCTGTTGGGCCTGGGTTTGACCCCTGGCACCCTCCACCCCTCAAAAACAAAGCATGAAGCTCCAGAATAAAATTGTGACTTCTCCGCGTTGCACTTAGGCAAGCGTACTGGGACGCCATGGCGCTGGGGCAGACAATGCTCCCCGTTTGACGCTTTATTGGTTCACAGGCTTCCTGCCTAAAAACTGCCACTGAGCTGGGCTGGTTTCCTAGTGAACTGGTCTTTGTGGAAGGGGCGGGGGAGCCTGGGCTGCATGTGTGTGGCTCACAGCCCGTGCTTCCTGCCAAGTTCCTGCTCGCCAAGTGAGCGGATTCTGCTGGAAAATCATGGGACTGATAATCCCACTCTGAGCCCATTGAAACCTTCTCTGTCCCTGTCATCTCGTTGCAGCATCTCCCCAGGAAAATAACAAAGCCCTTCCCCGGCAGACAGGGCAGGGGTTTAAATTTAACTGTGCAGTTTCCCTCCGGGCCAGTGACTCATCTCCACCTCCTGGGCCCCAGCCTGCTGCCACCCTGAAATTCGCCCAGCTCCCTGCCGGGGTTCTGACATGCCACTATCCTTCCTGTAGGCCGCGAGCACCTGGCAAAGCCTTTCCTGAAAGAGAGAGAGTGGCACAACGTCTGGCTGAGTGGCCCAGTGACCAGGGTGGGCACAGCCTTTTAACTCTCAGGTGTCACTGTCCTTGGGGTGGGGGGAGCTAGCCGGGGGGTCAGGACACAGAGTTTCCGGGCAAATGAGTGTGTCCTGTTCTGTGTCAAGGGGAAGCAGAAGGTTTTCCTGCATGCAAAAGCAGAGACTGAACACACACGCTCAGGGTGAGTGCCATGCCAAGGAGGCTGAGCCTGCCACAGCAGGGAACCAAGAAAGGAGGCCAAGACAGCCCAGCTAGGGGTGCAGTCCTGTGGGCAGAGGGGGAAATTTCTCCACCTCTGATCCTATCCCTGTTCAATGCCCACAGCAGTGCCACGAGAGAATAGGGTCACCCAGAGTCTGACTGAAGCCAGAGCCTCCTCCCGTGCACTTGGCCCCTTTCACCTACCCAAGCTCTTATCAGCAACTGGGCAGGAGCGGTGGAACCCCCAGGGTCTTCGGGGGAGGCAGTGCCCAGCCCCTGCCAGTGCCACCGCTGCAGAGGTGAAGGAACTGGATTCTGTTAAAGGACTTGGGGTCGGGGCCAGAGCGATAGTACAGCAAAGAGGGCGTTTGCCTTGCATGCAGCCAACCCGGGTTCAACCCCCCGGCATCCCATGTGGTCCCTGGAGCACCGCCAGGAGTAATTCCTGAGCACAGAGCCAGGAGTAACCCTTGAGTGCCTCCAAGTGTAGCCCCCCCCAAAAAAAAGAACCTGGGAGCCCTTGGTTCTTGTGCTTTGCTCCCCGGAAAGCATCTTTGGGGACCCTTGCGTAATGTGCTTGGCAAGCCGCAGCGGGGTGGATCTGATGCCTAGAGACTAGCTACTCCTCGGCTACTACAGGGCTACTCCTCGGCTCTCCCCAGGAGGAAAGCGTGTGCCAGAGAGCCAAGCACGCAGGACCACGGTCCTAGCTTCCTTACCTTTGGTGGGGTTGACCAAATTGACACCATGGTCTTGGACACTGGAGCTCATCTCTGTATAGTGGATGAGACTCTGGGGGCCAGAGAGATGGGACAGCGGGTAGGGGGCCCAGGTCTGATCCCCAGAAACTGGTCCCCTGAGCCTTGCCGTGACTAATCTCTGAGCACAGAACCCTGAGCACTGAGCACTGCCAAGTGTGACCCAAAGTCACTAACAAAAGATGAAGAGACCTGGGGACAGGTGGAGGGACATCAACTGGGTGTGGCAGAGGCTCCTGTGGGCAGGAAACTGTTTTCCAAAGCACCTGAAGACGGGAAAGGGGCCCTGGGATGCTCAGTGCAAGAGCTTTCACGACCCTATATCGGACCCCAGGATCACATGCGGTGAGCAACGGCCAGTGTAGGCGTGAGTTTCTGGCAGCAGCAGCCCCGGAGGAAGGACAGGGGGTGACTGGGAGGGAAATGGAAGTCCCTCCTCTTTGGGTCCAGAGTAAAAGCAATTGGGACAATATGGAGATGCAAAACTTGTAGGCGTGGGAAGATGGGAGGAAAAGGAAAGGGAAAGGCAAATATGGGGGTCCTGTGGGGGGGGTCGCGACTCTGGTCTGTGTGTGCAGGCCCCTGCTCCCTTCTCTTCTGTTAGCCCATGTCACCCAACAATGCAGCTGGCAACCTGATCCAGCAGAGCCAGAGGCCTGAAGGAAGGGGTGAGACCTGGTGAGGCTGTTCTCACTGACCATCAGCATCCAGGCCTTCTCCGGGGTGGAAGGGAGCCCCGTGACACCAGCTCCCTGCTAAAGGGGGCACCAAGACTGGGCACCCCCAGAGGCGGCAGAACAGACGCTGAGAAAGACAGTGCCTGAGACAGACTACGGAGCATCTGAGGGGCCAAAGGCTGCCAGCCAGGGTGTGGGGAGGTGGGGTCACCGGGACAGCTGTAGAGAGGGTTGCCAAGGAGGGGGGCGTAGGAGTGTGGGGTCTCCCGGAAGGCGCGGGGCGGTGGGGTCACCGGGACGACGTGGCGTTGGTGGGGGTCACCGGGACAGCGTGGGGTTGGTGGGGGTCACCGGAACGGCGTGGGGTTGGTGGGGTCGCCTGGACGGCGCCGGGCAGTGGGCTCGCCTGAGCAGCGGCGCCTGTCTAGACGCGGGCCGGCCAGGCTGCGGGGCAAAGGTCGGGCGGTGCGGGGCGCGGGGTGCAGAGGCCGGCGCCGCCCCCCCGCCCCTCCCCGCCCAAGGGCAGCTCCCCCAGCCGAGGCAGGAGCAGGCGCTCGAGCCCGCGGTCCCGCCGCCTCCAGCCCTAGGGTGGGCAGCCCGAGGGGGTCTCCGCGGACCGACCCGGGAGCGGCGCGGCGGGGCGGGTCGACGGGCGAGGGGGCCCCCCGCGCTCCGCCCGCCCCCGCGCCGCGCGCCGTGCCCGGTGCCCGCCCGTGCGCCCGCGCCGCCGCGCCGCCAGCAACTTTGGAGCCGGAGCGGCGGGAGGAGCCGAGAGGCTGGAGCGACCCGCCCGCCCTGCCCGGCCATGGCCGCGCCCGCCCGGCTGCTGACCGCGCTCCTGCTGCTCCGCGGCGTCAGGTGAGCCCGCGCGCGGTCTCCGCGCGCCGTCCCCGCGCCCTGTCCCCGTTGCCCGCGCCCCGTCCCCGTTGCCCGCGCCCCGTCCTCGTTGCCCGCGCCCCGTCCCCGCTGCCCGCGCCCCGTCCCCGTTGCCCGCGCCCCGTCCCTGCTGCCCGCGCCCCGTCCCCGCGCCCCGTCCCCGCTGCCCGCTCCCCGTCCCCGCTGCCCGCGCCGCTGTCCGCGCCCGGTGCTGAAGCGGCGCTCCCCGGGCCAAGGCAACTCCGGGCGGACGCGCGGAGCCCGGCTGGGAGTTGGGGCGGGCAGGACGCCGGGGTCTTCTCCGGGGACCGGCTCGGGTGGCGCCCCCTGACCCGCTCATTGGGAAGGGCCGTTCAGGGCTGGAGGACTGCGGTGTTGGACCCCAGAAGGTGGAGCGAGCTTTTCCCCGCCAGCGGGGCAGGCGCGAGGGGACGGACGACGGGCCTGCCCCTCCCCCAAACTCGCAGGAGGCCGGTGCGGCTCTGGGGCTAAGGCTGCAGCGGCACCCCCTAACGCGGCCGGCCGAAGCGGTCCGTCCTGGTAGGGCACTTGACCCGCTGCTGCGAGGTGGGAACTGGACCCAGGTCCCGGGTGGGGTGGGGTGGGAGCACAGCCTGGCATCCCGGTTGTGTTTGTTTGGGGGGGAGGTGGGCACACCTGGCAGTGCTCCCGGATCACTCCCCAGGGGCTGGGGGACCAGTACTGGGAAGCTCGGCTCCTCCTCCTGCTCCTCTCCGACTTCAAGGTAACAGGAAGGACAGAGGGTGAGGCTGGGATGCCAGCTGCCTCCGAAGCCGGGAGCTTCACCCCGCGCCTGACTGCCAAGCTCACTTGGGAGCCCGCCCTGCCCCTCTACCGGGTTGCGGGAGTCTCTCCCGGCAACTCCTGGGCCTGTTTCTGCCCTTGAGGCAGCAATACTCCGGCCAGAACTGTACACACACTCTGGTCTATTCCAGGCTGGTAGCCAACACGAGGCCCCATCAGCTGGGGACTTGGGGCTCCCCCACCAGCCTTCCAGCCCTTTCCCGCCCCCCCCCCTCGCCCCGGGGCTGAACCCAACTCAGGGCTCCTGTGGGTACAGGCCAGGGGCTAGGAGGACTCTGTCCACGGTGGTAACATGGTGAATATTCCCTGGCTGAAGCCCTCTCCAATGGCTGCGACCTCAGGGACTGACCCGCTATGCGTCCCCGCTCTTGCCTGCCAACTTACTGGGCCGCCCTGGGGACCGGGACCAGGTGCTGGTGTCACTGTGGCAGCCAGACTCAGCCCACAGACTCATGTCTGAAGACATTCCCCCCCACCCCTCAGTCACGCCCAGTGCCAGGTGCTGCTGAGGGACAGCAGTCCTTGTGCCCCTTGGGGTCAGAAGAGTGGGGGGTCAGAAGCACAGAGGCAGCAGGAACAGCGGGCCTGAGGTGGAAGGCCCTTAGGGTTCTGGCACCCAAACTGTGGTGCGGTTCCTCCCACAGAGAGCTGGACCCAAGACCACCGCCCTCCCATGGCCACCAACTGAGTCAGGAGCCCTCCAGGCTGCGGGGTGGGGGGTGGGGTGGATGGGTAGCAGGGTGATGGATGGATGGATGGCGGTTGGATGGCAGATGGTTGGCGTGGATGAGTGGACGGTGATACGATAGATTGATGGTGTGTGATGGTGGGGTATAGATTGGTGAACGGGTAGATGATGAATGGGTGTGATGGGTGGATGGGTGAGTGGGTGGGTGTGACTAGGAATAACTCCCTGGGGAGGACTTGGACGGGATTAGAAAGATGTGTAGGGGTCAACGAGAGAAAGCAAGGGTGTAGGAGTCCTGAGAGAGAGAGGCAGGGCCAAATGCTGGGGTCTGGAGGGCTGTCAGAGTCTGAGGTGGGACCCTGGCGATGGGAGCTGTGGGGGCAACAGGCGGAGCACAAGGAGGCACGTCCCGGCCCGGGCCCTGTGTGCCTGAGAAGCGCCTGGGTTTCCTGGCTGCAGTCCACGACAAGGGGCTGTGGCGAGGGGGGCGGCCGTACCCAGTGTCCCGGCTACTTGGCACAGCTGCCCAGGCCTCACAGGCTACAAAGGACCTCAGTGTCTTCCTCAGACCCTCACCCTGCACACACCCCGGCGGGCCCCTGCAAAGGGCACCCGGGGTGCAGTGGACAGGCGTGTGAGGTGCTCCACACAGCAGGGGCCGACCCTGGGTTGTGGGACAAAGCAGCCCATGTGACCGACCATCAGGCTAGCCCACTCCATGAGCGTGTCTCCAGGAGCATGTAGAAACAGGGGCTCTGGGGCCTGCCTGGAGGATGGTGGCCTCCCTGGGCTCACAGTCTGGTCTGGTTGGCTCATTTGTGGGACCCCACGGCCATTCCTCTTCCTCAGCCTCGGGAGCGTCCATGCCACCATCCTCAGAGCTGAAGGACACCTTCTTGCTCTCGCAGAGGTCCAGGCTTGAGCGAGCGAGATGAGCCTTGCGGCCAGCTGCCCTCGGGGGACGGATGGGGGGAGCCACCCGGGTTTGGCCAGGGGCTGGTGTTGGTCCACCAAGTAGAGGAGTGGGGAGGCTTCAGTATTCCTAATGCGAGTCCCTTAGGGGTCTTCCTGCCCACCCCCTGCCCCACCCCGTCTCAGCACTTGGGACCAAGCTCTCCCAGGGCCCGGCCAGACTGTGGGCTTTGCCTCTGCAGAGCTGTGAGTGACATTGGGGACTATGTCGGCTCTAACCTGGAGATCTCCTGGCTCCCCAATCTGGACAGCTTGGTGGAAGGCTACGCCCGCAACTTCCGGCCCGGCATTGGAGGTGGGTGTGCTGACTGTGCCTGCTGTGGAGTCCAGGAGAGACCAGCTCCCCGGGGGCCATCAGACCTTGAGCTGGGGCAAAGGGGCTAGGCCTCCCAGGCTGAGCGGCACCCGCCCCCTTCCTGTATGTGGGGCACAGACTCAGTGCCACCCCTACAGCTCTGCACCTTCCTTGCAGGACCACCTGTGAACGTGGCACTGGCCATCGAAGTGGCCAGCATTGACCATATCTCAGAGGCCAACATGGTAGGTGCTGCCCGTCCCGCACCCACAGCCTGGACCCCGGGACTGTGTCCATGCTGAAAGCCTCCCACCCCTCAGGAGTACACCATGACGGTGTTTGTGCACCAGAGCTGGAGGGACAGCCGGCTCTCCTACAGCCACACCAACGAGACCTTGGGACTGGACAGTCGCTTCGTCGACAAGCTCTGGCTCCCAGACACCTTCATCGTCAACGCCAAGTCGGCCTGGTTCCACGATGTGACGGTGGAGAACAAGCTCATCCGGCTGCAGCCCGATGGGGTGATTCTCTACAGCATCCGGTGAGCCCTAGGCAGGGTGCGCCCTCTTTCCCTCTGTCCCCACAGATCATTCAGGTGACGCTGGCGCCTGCCACCTCTTCACTGGGTTTGTGTTTGCTTTGGTTTGGGTCTTTGATGCTCAGGGCTAACTCGTGCCTCTGTGCTCAGGAATCACAAGTGGTGCCGGGGATTGAACCCGGGTCGACCACGTGCAAGGCCAGTGTCCTACCTGCTGTGCTGTTGCTCAGGCCCCAACACTAAGCATTTGTGTGGAGGCACATGAACACTGACATTTGTCAGCTGGCGTCACTGTGCCAAGGATAGATGGAACCCAGTTCATGGGGGCTGGTGGGAGTCACTGCTCACATGTGTGTGAACGTTGGGGGAGCTACAGTGCTGTGGTTCTTGCTCCAGGTGTGCCACAGTAAAGCGAGTCTCACAGAGGGCTCTGCCGTGCACTCCAGCATGATGTCCAAACACACCCACAGACCATCAGTAAAAATACTCCCTTTACATAAGGATGACTGGGACAGGCTCGCTGGCACAGCTCACACTGTGCATGCACGTGGCCTGGCTTGCACTCGCAGCACACATGCACACACATGCACATGCTTTGTTACTATACAATACTAACCTCATCTGAGCCTTCAGAAAGGCTTCATCTTTGGGCTGGTGGAGGGTCATGTCAAATGTGGTACCCAAAGCACAGTCTGAGGAGGCTGTTATCTTCACACTGGGAGCAGAGCTGTAGTCCAGCGGGTAGAGGGTATTGGCCTTGCACATGGCCAGTCCGGGTTTGATGCCCGTCCCAGCATCCAATATGGTCTCCCAAGCCCTGCCAAGAGTGCAAAGCCAGGAATAACCCCTGAGCACTTCCAGGTGTGGTCCAAAAACAAAACAAATAAAATAAAAGTGGGATATTGGCATAAGAGTCCACACTTTTCAGGGTGTGGAGGCAGAGAGATAGTATTGTGGGGTGAAGCACTTGTCTTGCTTCTGGCCATCCTGTTCAACCTCTGGTACTACATATGGTGCCTTGAGTACAGAGCCAGCAGTGATCCCTGAGCACAGGCAGGAGAAAGCCTGAGGACCACCAAGTGTGTCCCCTGACCAAGAAGAACCCAAACTGTCTTGGACAATCCATACTCTCCCTGGGCTGGCAGAACCTTGGACCTTCACTGCGGCCGACCTGACCTCCCTGCCTCCTCGCCCCAATCAGCATTAGTGCTGCATTCACCAATAGAAACGAGCAAGACCCAGCTCTTGATCCCAGAACAGGCCCCGAGTACAGTCACCCAGGGTAGAGCTCTTGTTCCTTCCCAGCTGCATCAGCTGCAACAGAGTCAGGAGGCTGGCGTTTTTGTTCAGGCAGGAGCTGCTGGCAGCACCTTGTCCATGCCCACCCTCACCATAGACTTTGCTTTGACAGCATCACATCCACAGTGGCTTGTGACATGGACCTGGCCAAGTACCCCATGGACGAGCAGGAGTGCATGCTGCATCTGGAGAGCTGTGAGTGGCCTTGTGGGGAACGGGCTGGGAGACAGGGCTCAGGACTCCGCTGAACTCAGCCTGGCTCTGTGGCAGGACCACCCTGAGAATGAGGAGGGTCAGGAGGCATGGGTCTGCTCCATGGCTAGCACCCTCTGGGGGGAGCCTCTCCGTGGCGCCAGGCTCTGGTATTTATGTCGCCAGCACCAGCACTCTGAAGGGCACTGCCAATGCAGCCTGCCCAGAGGTGGCGGGGAGGGGGGGGGTGTCCACACTGCTCTCTCACAGGGTGGGGCGTCACAGAAGAGGCGGGGCTCACGGGGTGGGCGGGGTCTCACACGGAGGGGCCTTGCATAAGGGGGCGGGCTTCATGGGGCGGGGCCCTCCGGGGGCGGGGTCTCATGTGGAGGGTGGGGCCTCACCGGGTAGGGCCTGCCAGGGGCAGGGTCTCGTGCAGAGGGGCAGGGGGAAAGGGGTCCGCAGAGGGCGGGGTCCGTAGGGGCGTGGCCTGCTGAGGGCGTGGCCTCACAGGGCATGCCTCTCGGGGCGTGGCCTTGGCGGTGGGGGTGTGGCCCGGTACCGGCTCCGGCTCCTGGCCCCGCCCCCTCACCTGGTCACCTGGCTGTGTGGCTCCACAGACGGCTACTCATCTGAGGACATCATCTATTACTGGTCGGAAAACCAGGAGCAGATCCACGGGCTGGACAAGCTGCAGCTGGCGCAGTTCACCATCACCAGCTACCGCTTCACCTCGGAGCTGATGAACTTTAAGTCCGGTATGGGGCCTCTTCCCAGGGATGAGATAACCGCCGCAGCCACGCAGGAGCGGACAGTGAACAGGGTTTCTCTTGGGCCCCTCTGTCCTTCCCAGGGACTCGCTGTGCTCCAAGGTTGGGCAGCAGGGTGTGCTTTGGGTAAAGTCCCCCAGTTGCCTGCTTTGCCCTGTCCCCTCCCTGCTCCTGCTGCCTGCCCCTGGGTAGGGAGGGGCCACACACCCTTCCCTGGGTCTTAGCGGGGCCAGCAAACTCAAGGCCCACACCTGATCCAACTCTGTCCTTCCTCAGGGGCCAGAGGGGTCACTGGACAGTATGGAGAGGTGGGTGGGCGTGGGGCGCGATGAGCCGGGCCCTAGGGGACAGACGGTTCTCTGGCAGCCGGCCAGTTCCCAAGGCTCAGCCTGCATTTCCACCTGCGGAGAAACCGGGGTGTGTACATCATCCAGTCCTACATGCCATCCGTCCTCCTGGTGGCCATGTCCTGGGTCTCCTTCTGGATCAGCCAGGCAGCCGTGCCCGCCCGTGTGTCTCTCGGTATGCCTGGGCAAGGGAGTCTGGGGGCAGTGGGGCCAGTAGCAGCGGGGTGTGGCCGGCAGGGCTGGGGGTTCCAACCACCCCACCCCGGTGCCCGCAGGCATTACCACCGTGCTGACCATGACGACGCTGATGGTGAGTGCCCGCTCCTCCCTGCCGCGCGCCTCGGCCATCAAGGCACTGGACGTGTACTTCTGGATCTGCTATGTGTTTGTGTTTGCCGCGCTGGTGGAGTACGCCTTCGCTCACTTCAACGCCGACTACAGGAAGAAGCAGAAGGCCAAGAGTGTGAGCCAGAGGGTGGAGGTGAGCCGGCGGGCAGTTCCAGGATGCCCGTGTCACTGCCCCGCCCGGGCGCCCCCGTGAGCTGCCCTCCTCTCCCTGCAGATGGATGTGAGGAACGCCATTGTGCTCTTCTCGCTCTCTGCGGCCGGCGTCAGCAGGGAGCTGGCCCTGTCCGGCCCTCAGCGCCTGGTCCCCGGGAACCTCATGGGCACCTACCGCTCGGTGGAGGTGGAGACAGGAGAGATGAAGAAGCAGGGGGCAGCCCCGGCAGCCACCCAGGGCAGCCTCCGTGCACTTTTCAAGCCCATCGATGCAGACTCCATCGACACCTACGCCCGCGCCGTGTTCCCCGCGGCCTTTGCCGCCGTCAATGTCATCTACTGGGCGGCCTACGCCCTGTGAAGACCCAAGTGCCAGAGTGGGCTAGCCCGAGTCCCCATGGCTCCCCTCCAGGCCACCCAACCTTCCTCCTGAAGCCACCCAACACCTGCCCTCCCACCTCCCCGCTTCTTCCTAGCTCTCCTCCCCCTCCCCAGTCCTCTCTGCCCTCTTGCTTGTCCCTGTCCTGCCCACCCCCCCACCCGTCCCCATTCCCCCTCGCACCTGTCCTCTTTCCTCCCTCCTCCCTCCTCCCCATCCCTTCTCCCCTCTTGCATCCCTCCTCCTTCCTGGCTCTCCTCCCTCCCCCCTCCTGCCCTCTTGCTTGTCCTCCACTCCTGCCCGCCCCCCACCTTTCCCCTTTCCTCCCCCCTGCCCATCCCCTCCTCATTCCTGCCTGCCCCTTGCCATCCCCCTTCTCAGTACAGATAGGTTTGAGGCTGTTCCCGCTGGGCCCCGGGCAATCTGGGGGGGGGGACTCCCAAATGGCCACTGTGCCCAGGCCTGACTCTGGGGTTGCCCTCAAGGATCGGGGTGCCATGAAGCCAATAAAGCCCTGGGTCCGCGGGAGCCTCTGCCTCTTCTTGTGCTGCGCCTACCTCCCTCTCAGGGCGAGCTGTGTCCGGGCATCACCCTTTCCCGGCCCCCTGCCATTCTGCAGTGACGCTTGACAGGCAACTCAGGGCCATTAGCCACAGCTGCTCCGGAAGGCCAGACTTCGAGCAAGCTGCCCATCGTCCATCAGTGGGTCCAGAGCACTTGGGGGCTTCTGCTCTCCCCCTCCCCCAGTGGTCAGCTGAAGGGCTCTGCCTGTCCTCCCTGGCCACCCCCCAGAGAACACTGCTGTGTCCGAGCAGAGGACAGCGGGCTGTGCCAGCACCACACTGACCCGCAGCTCCAGTTCCGGTGCGGCCCCTCACTCGGACCCCGGTCAGGTCTGAGGGGCCAGTGCCAGCCTGGCTGACGAGTAGGGCTGCACCTACACTGGCCAGCGCCTGGGGTACCAGCCTGGCAGATGAGTGTCTCTGTCTCTGGGTCTCTATGTATCTGTCTCTGCCTATCTCTCCTGTCTCTCTGTCTCCTTTGTCTCTGTCTCTGTCTCTCTCTGTCCTTGTCTCACACCAGCACTGGCCAGCACCTGGGGCAGGACCAGGAGTCAGAGCAAGTGTTGTTTGGGACAGCTAGTCGGGTGCAGGCAGGTGGCCAGTGAGCCTTCTCCTCTCGGCCCTGGTGCAGGTGCCTGGGCCCACCCCAGCCCCACACAGGGAGGAACTCTGCCCCACCCACCGGTTGCCCCTAGATCCCCTGTCCCCCCACCTGCCTTCCCTGTCCCCCGCTGCCTTCCCTGTACCCCCCCTCCTTCCCTGTCCCCTCCTGCCTTCTCTGCCCCCGCCCTCGTTCCCACAGATGCTATTTAAAGCCGCCTCGCTGCCTTGGGCACCCACGCAGCGGGCAGGGTGGGCTGTTGGATCCTGCAGCCTGCAATCACACTGCCTGCTCCTGCCCCCTCCTCCTGCCCAGGAGACTGGCAGAGGGCAGGGAGGGTCCCCTCACGGTCATTCACAGGACAGGGCATGGCTGACAGAGGCTGGCCTGGAGCTGCTTCCTGGGTGCTGGGCAAGTGCTTTCCTGAAGTGGGGGGGTGCCGAGTGGTACCCCACAACAGCAGTGGACATGCACACAGTCACCTCCCAGGCTCAGAAGGGAGGACACAGGGGAGGAAAATCAGGGTCCCCTCCGAGCAGAGCTTCAGGGTCTGAGATGGTACTTGAGCACAGGGAGATTTCCTGAGAGCAACTCTCCGGCGCCCCCGTGTCTCTGTCTCTGGGTCTTACTGTATCTGTCTCTGCCTATCTGTCCTGTCTCTCTGTCGCTCTGTCTCTTTTGTCTTTGTCTCTGTCTCTCTCTGTCCTTGTCTTGCTTTCACCAGAGCCTCCCCAGCTGCAGGAGCCCTCTTTCAAGTAGGGACCCCTTGTTCCTAGTGAGTAGGACCTCGGAGACATCCTGGAGGTGGCAGGAGCAAGGAAGTAAGGAGGGGGCTTCTCCAGTCCACCTAGAAATCAAGCCTGGGGTTCAGGCAGGCGAGTATGTGGGCGCCGCAGCCAACTCTCCAAGTGGGGTTCATGGACAAAAAGACTGGGGGCAGCCTCAGGCCCTCATGCTGGGGCCCGGGGCAGGGGCGGCCAGTGCTGTATGCGGCAGCTGTCCAGGCCCACCAAGGGCCCCCCTGCCTGGGAGCGCCCACCTGTACTAGCTCCCGAGGGCACTGTTCCTGGCACAAGGTTGAGGGCCTCTGACCTCCCTGCCCGCCCCTGACCTCCCTCCTCTTTCCCCCTGCCCCATCTGCAGGTAGCAGCGGGAGCATCTCAGGTCTGGGGGCTGCAGCACCCTTCCAGGAGGATCCCAGTGCTCCTGTCTGCGGCTCTTCCCATAGCTCCTGCCTGTCACCTGTCACCTGGGCCTGAGTCCCAGGGGGGCCCAGGGCCTGGCCTGCATTCTGACAGTGAAGAAGCAAAGCAGACGGGTGGGGTCCCAGGTGGGGGTGGGGGGTTCTCCAGGTGGGCACAGCAGGGAAGCTGTGGGCTCCCGGAAACTGGGAGAAGGCTGAGCACAGGACTCCCCGAAGCCTGCTCCGCCATACAGTTGCCATGGTCACCGTGGCGTGGGAGCCACCTCCTCAGCCCTCACTTGCTCTGGGTTAAATATAATCTGGGCCAGTGCCCACGAGGGTGCAGCAGGGGCTTCTCTCTGCCTCCTGCCGTCCAGGCCACAGCAGCACTGGGGACTGGGCTACAGCACATCTTGCCATAGTGCAAGCAGGACATGACACTGGGCCACCCCAGCTCATGGGGTTTTATCCAGAGTGAAGCTGTGCTGCCACATTAGGAGGGAGCCATGTCCTGGGAGGGAGCCACGTTGGGAGGGAGCCACATTAGGAGGGAGCCACATTGGAAAGGAGCCACATTAGGAGGGAGCCACATTAGGAGGGAGCCACATTGGGAGGGAGCCACTTTGGGAGGGAGCCACATTAGGAGGGAGCCATGTTGGGAGGGAGCCACGTTGGGAGGGAGCCACGTTACGAGGGAGCCACATTAAGAGGGAACCACATTGGGAGGGAGCCACGTTTAGGAGGGAGCCACGTTAGAAGGGAGCCACATATCTCCAACTGACCCTGGAACCAAAGGGTCCTCCAAGAGGAGGAAGCCTTGGCACCTGTTCAGGATTGGACCCTGGAGTCATCTATGACACACTGCCCTGACAGGACAACACGAACACGTCCCACTACAGGGTGTGAGCCCAGTGGGAGTGTGTGGAGCACAGCAGGCCCAGGCTCATCCCTCCCTTTTCACCAGGTCCCTCCCCAAAACCCTGACACCCTCTCCTGCCAGTCCTCCTTTCTGCTCTCTCTCTGCACACATGGACAACCCCAGTAGCCCTCCAGCTCATGCGCATCACACAGATGTACAAACATGTCACACACGTGTAGGGACACACACAAGCACATACGCACAGGCACATGCACATACAGGCACATGCACATACAGACACACACATAGGCACATGCACACACAGACACACACATAGGCATGGGCACATGCACACATAGAAACATACACACAGGCACATGCACACATAGGAACATACATGCAGGCACATGCACATATGGGCACATGCAAACACAGACACATACATAGACACATGCACATATAAGCACATGCACACACAGGCACATGAACAAACAAGCCCATACATACAGGCACATACACACAGGCACATGCACACACAGGCACACACAGACATATACACACAGGCACATGTATATATATGCACATGCACACACAGGCACATGGACCACAGACACATGAACACACAAGCACATACACACAGGCACATGGACACATGACATGCATACACAGACATGCACACAGACACATACACAGGCACAATCACACACAGACACATACACACAAACACACAGCCACAAGGACACACAGACACATACAGACAGGCATGCGCACACACAGACACACACAGACACATACACACAGGCACAGGGACACACAGACATATGCACATATACACATGCATACACAGGACAAATTTACTTGGGTCTTCACAAGGTGTTGTTTTGAGGGGGACATCTTTGGGCCACACTCAGTTGTTCTCAAGGCTACTCCTGGCCTGCTCAGGAGATTATGAGGTGCTGGGGGACACACCTAGGTGGACAGAATGCAAGGCATTGTTGCCCTTCCCATCCTCCCTCTGCAACCTTCTTCACAGGATCTACAGACCTTTGCATCTGACCGGAGCAGGGAGCAGTTGTCCATGGGGAGATGGGCCAGTGGTGAACCGAGCAAGCGACAGTAAGAGGCCCGGAAGTCATGATGCTGGGATCCCAACAGGGGCACTGCTGGGGGTCACGGGGCAGCTCCCCCCAAGGCTGAGCCTGACTCCTACCTAGACTGTAAGAACCACCCTGTCTCCTCCTGCCCCCAAACACCCTCTACTGGGGAATCTCTGCACTGCACCAACCGCCAAGCCACCAGCTCCGAGGGCACTGCCAGCCTGGCTGGACCTGCAGAAGGAAGGAAAGGAGGGAGGGAGGGAGGAAAGAAGAAGGGGAGGAGGAAAAGAGAGAGGATGAATGAGGGAGAAGGGAGTAGCCCAGGAATGCAGCCGAGAGGTGAGGAGGTCCAAAGGGACAAGAACAGACATAGGTGCACACAGACACATGGATATGCAACATGCCTTCACAGGCACACACACAGACACATGTGTACACATAAGCATGCACACACATGTGCTATAGCATGCACACATGCACACACACAAGCATGTGCACACAAACAAGCACATGTGTACACACACACAGAGGAGCTGCTGCCTGTGAGGTCAGACAGGTGTAGGGCAGGAGCCCCCACTGGAGGGCGCTGCCCTCCCTGAAAGCTTCAGGCCTCTCTCAGAGTCGCATGTTCAGGGAAGGGCTGCTCAGGGCACCCCTCCCACAGCACTGCCACAGCCTTGTGACCCCTGCACCCCAGCAGCCATGTCTGGTTATCCCCCACACCCAGATCCTGGCGGGATCCAGCACCGGGCCCAGTGGGTCAGCAGCAGTGGAACAAATGAGTGCACAGAGGTGGAGGCTGTTGTTTGTCATTTTCCGCAAACCCCGTGACGCGCGGCAGAGGAAACATCTGCTGCCCAGAGCGGGGCTGGGGCACAGGAGACGCCTGAGCTGCCAGCGGCCAGGTCTGCTCAGAGATCCGTGCCTGGAGTCTCCCCGGCCCACAGCGGGCAGCACATGGCACGGTCTGCCCCACGCCCCCCATTGAGGTACATGATCAGGGGGTCAGAAGCGGCACCCTGCCCGTGAAGCCACTGTGACCCCATACTGGTCCTGAGGATCTTCATCTATAAGCTGGTTTCCTTCCTCCCTCTGCAGGTCACAGGCACCAAGCCACCACATCCCGGCAGAGGATGAAGGTGGCTGGGGAGGGAACAGTGCTGGCCATCGAACAGTGACACCATGGGGAGGATGGGGCAGAAGTGACACCTGCGGGGTAGGGGGCAACCAGGGCGTGGAACTAGCTTCTGGTTGTCATGAGGGGCTGCAGCAATGAGTGGGGGCGCACCGGGGACCCACTTCCAGGACAGTGCTCAGGTGACAGGTGGCTCTTAGAGGCTCTGGTGCTCAGTCCAGGGCTCTGAGGTGCCCCGGGGATCCCGCCAGAGGCAGGAAGGTGACTGTCCCTCACACTTGGTCGGTCCTGGCTGTGCCCTGCTGTGGTTCAAGACAGCAAGGGGGTGAGGGGCCAGGGCTGGGGGGCTTCTAACCCCACAGCACTCACTCTGGCAGCCACACGCCTGTCCCCAGCCCCACCCTAGAGTGCTGAGCCCTCTCCCTCTCCCACACAGACACTCTGCAGCCCTCCTACACACACACACACACACACACACACACACACACACACCCTAGCAGGAGGGAGAGCAGCTAGGAAGGAAGGACAGGGGAAATGAAGAGCGAACTGAGGAGAGGAGTAAGAAGTGAAGAGGAAGTGAGGAGGGGTGAGGAGGGAATGTGAGGAGGGGAGAAGTAAGAGGAATGAGATGAGAGTGAGAAGTGAAGAGGGAACTGAGGGGGAGTGAGGAGAGTGAAGAGGAAGTGAGGGGAAAAGTGAGGAGGGGTGAGGTGGGAAGTGAGGAGGGAACCGAGAAGAGAGTGAGGAAGAGAAGTGAAGAGGAAGCTAGAAGGGTGAGGGGGAATGTGAGGAAAGGAGGATTGAGTGTGAGGAGATGAGTGAGGGAGAAGTGAAGGTGAGAAGTGGAGGGTGAAGCGGGGAGGGAACTGAAGAGGGGTGAGGAGAAGCGAAGGGGAAGTGAGGAGGGGAAGTGAGGAGAGGAAGTGAGGGGGAAAATGAGGAGAGGTGAGGAGGGGTTATGAGGGGGAAAAAGTGAGGAGGGAACTGAGGAGGGGATGAAGATGAGAAGTCAAGAGGAAGTGAGGAGGGGTGAGGAGGGAATGTGAAGAGGGGAGAAGTGAGAGGAGTAGATGAGTGAGAAATGAGGAGGGAATTGATGGGGGTGAGGAGAGTGAGGAGGAAGTGAGGAAGGGAAGTGAGGACAGGTGAGGGGATGTAAGGTGCGAAGTGAGGAGGGGAAGTGAGGGGGAAAGTGAGGAGGGGTGAGGAGGGAAGGAAGTGAAGAGGAAGTGAGGAGGAGTGAGGGGGAATGCGAGGAGAGGTGAGGTGGGAAGTGAGGGGGAAAGTGCAGGGGGAAGTGGAAGTGAGAAGGGGCGAGGGGGAATGTGAGGAGGGGAAAACCGAGGAGAGGCGGATGTGATGAGCGGGAGGAGAGGGGAAGTGCGGAGGGAAAGCGTTGGGTGTTAGCAGGAGAAAGCGAGGAGGGAAGTTGGAGCGGGACGGGGGAGGAGAGCGTGAGGCGGGCGGTGAGGGGCGGTGGGTGGGGGGCAGCTCCCGGGTCTGCGCTGGGAGGGGGCGAGGGAGGGTCGGGGCGCGGGGGCCGGGCGGCGGCGCGAGGCGCGGTCCAGACAGGCGGGGGGTCGGGGGAGAGGCGCGCCCCGCCGACGCCCGGCCCGGCCCGCCGGAGTCTGGCCTCGGAGCGCAGCGTCGGGGCCCCGGAGGCGCGTCCCGCGAGGGGCCGCGCGCCACCATTGGCCGCAGGTGGGCCGCGCCCCGCCCCACAGGTGGCCCGCGCCGCGCCATTGGTCCAGGTGGGCCCCGCCTCGCCCTCATTGGCCGCAGGTGCCACCGCCCCCGCCCCGGCCCCGGCCCCGGCCCGGCCCGGCCCGGCCGCCATGTTCCGGCGCCCCCGGGGCAGCGGGAGCCGCCCGGCCCGGCCCGCCCGGCCCGCGCCCCGGCCCGCGCCCTGACGCGCGCGCCGGGCCGCCTCGCTGACCGCCGTCCACGCCATGCCCAGCCGGACGCGCCCCAAGATGGACGGGAGCGGCGGCCGCGTCCGCCTCAAGGCGCACTACGGCGGGTGAGGCCGGCGGCCGGACGGGCCGGACGGGCTGGACGGGCTGGACGGGCGACTGGACGGCGGCGGGCATGACGGGCTGGACGGGCGGCGGGCTGGACAGCCGGGCTGCTGGACGGGGGAGCGGGGTGGACGGGCGGCGGGACGCGCTGGACGGGCGGCGGGACGGGGCTGCTAGACGGCGCAGCGCGTCGGGCCGGCGGGGCTGCTGGACGCGGACGGGAATTGGCCGGCGGGCGGGCGGACCGACGGGGCTGCTGTCCCCCCCGCACGGACTGCCGTGCTCTGGTGCGCGGGCGCCGCCGGCCAGTCGGTGGGAGCGGGCGCTGCGGGCGGGTGGGCTGGACGCGCTCGGCTGGGCGGGCGGTGCCGGCGCGGTGCTCCCGGCTGGGTCCCGCGGCCGCGCTTGGTTCCAGGTCCTCCCGCCGTGCCCGCCTGGTGCTGGGGCAGAGAGGCTTCACTGACACCCCCACGCCCACCTCGGCTTCTTTTTCACACTCGGCCCTGGGGATCCTCAAGCCCTGTCCCCAGGGGCCACTCAGGACAGCAGGAACGTGTGAATGTGGGTGGTCAGAACACGGGGCCCAGGCTAATCTTCACTCTGGCCCCGTCTTTGTCCACCAGGGGTGAACAAGTGGTGGACGCGGGGTCTCTTAGAAGGAGGCTGTGGTCCCCCCAAAAGCTGGATGTTAGGGTCCCCTTGGGGCTGCAGTCACAACTGGACATCTTTGGAGCCCCTGCCCTTGCTTGGACAGGGACGGCCTCCCAGAGCCCTGGGTCCACCTCACCCTTTCCTCTCTTGGCACATGTCCTGGGGCAGCTGAAGGCAAAAGCCAGTGCCACCCCTTCCAAGGCTCCAGGAGGGAGTGTGCGTGGCCCCCTGCCTCAGTTTCCCCTCTGCTGACCCTCCAGACTGGGCTGGGCAAGGGGAGCCCCGAAGAGCTGATTCTTAGCAGCTCCAGCAGGAAGGGGACTATCTTGGGGGTGACCCTCAGCCCTGCAAACCCCCATACTGGGTGGGTGCCTGCTGAGCTCCAGGGGCCAATGGGGCCCCTGAAGGGTCCTGTTTCAGTGCCTGGGGGCAGTATCCCTCCCTTATCTCTGGGTGAGCAGCATCCCCAAGCACTCTCATGTCCTTCCTGAGAGGGGTTGGAGTCGCCTCCCAGACCCCCAACAGGGCTGTGTGCGCCTGGGGTGGGGGTCAGGATCAGGAGCTTGGGCTCTTCTGAGACATCTGGGGGAACCTGGTGGCACCCGGGACTTCTGTGGGAGCCACCCACGGTCCCTGCCCGTGTGCCCCCCCAGGGACCTGTTCATCAGCAGCGTGGACCCAGCCACCACCTTCCAGGAGCTGTGTGCGGAAGTGCGTGGCCTGTGCAGGCTCAGCGGCAGCCACCCGCTCACCCTCAAGTGGGTGGACAGCGAAGGTGCGTCCCGGGGAGGGACTGTGGCTGCCCGCTGGGCTGGGGCTCTGGAAGGGGTTAGTCAGCAACCAGGTCTGGGCCTGGGGGCAGGGACACGCTCAGGCCCTGTGGCAGGGACAGACTCTGGTCCTGAGCCCAGGAGCCTGCAGACATGTACCCCCAGGCCCTATCCCAGACCCCTGTCCCCCAGGCCCTGTCCCCAGACCCCTGTCCCCCAGATGCCTGTCCCAGACCCTGTCCCCCAGACCCTGCTCCTCAGACCCTGTCCCCCAGACCCCTGTCCCAGATCCTGTGTCCCAAACCGTTTCCCAGACCCTGTCCCCCAGATCTCTGTCCCAGACCCTGTCCCCCAGGCACCTGTCCCCTCGACCCCTGTCCCAGACCCCTGTCCTAGCCCCTGTCCCCCAGGTCCCTGTCCCCCAGACCCCTGTCCCCCAGGCCCCTGTCCCCCAGACCCTATCCCCCAGATCCCTGTCCCCCAGACCCTGTCCCAGACCCTGTCCCCCAGACCCCTGTCCCCCAGACCCTGTCCCCCAGACTCTGTCGCCCAGACCACTGTCCCCCAGACCCAGTCTCCAAGATCCCTGTCTGCCAGACCCCTGTCCCAAACCCTGTCCTAGACCCTGCTCCTCAATTTTGTTTATTTTGGTTTTTTTTTTTTTTTTGCTCTTTGGGTCACACCGAGTGATGCACAGGGGTTACTCCTGGCTCATGCACTCAGGAATTTACTCCTGGCATGCTCAGGGGACCATATGGGATGCTTGGAATTGAACCCTGGTGGGCGCGTGCAAAGCAAATGCCCTACCCACTGTGCTATCGCTCCAGCCCCAACCCTGCTCCTCAGACCATGCTCCCCAGGCCCTGTCCCAGACCCCTGTCCCCCAGACTCCTGTCCCAGGCCTCTGTCCCCCAGACCCCTGTCTCCCAGACCCTGTCTCCCAGACCCTGTCTCCCAGACCCTGTCCCCCAGACCCCTGTCCCTGGCCCGTGTCCCCCAGACCCCTGTCCCAGGCCTCTCTCCCCCAGACCCCTGTCTCCCAGATCATGTCCCCCAGACCCTGTCCCCCAGATCCTGTCCTCCAAACCCTGCCTCTCACTCTGTCCCCCAGACCCTTGTCCCAGCCCTTGTCCCCCAGGTCCCTGTCGCCCAGACCCCTGTCCCCCAGACCCCTGTCCCAGACCCCTGACCCCAGATCCTGTTCCTCAGATCCTTCTCTACCCTGTCCCCCAGACCCTTGTCCCAGATCTGTGTCCCCCAGGGCCCTGTCCCCCAGAACCCTGTCCCAAGCCTCTATCCCCAAGACCCCTGTCTCCCAGACCCTGTCCCAGGTTCATGTCCCCCAGACCCCTGTCCCATAGACCCCTGTCCCAGACCCTGTCCCTGGGACCCTGTCCCCCAAACCCTGCCTCTCATTCACCCTGTCCCCCAGACCCTGTGGTCCCAGACCGTGTCCCAGTCCCTGGCCCCCAGACCCCTGGCCCCCAGACCTCTGTCCCAGACCCCTGACCCCAGACCCTGTCCCCCAGATCCCTGACACCAGACCCTGTCCCCCAGACCCCTCTCCCAGACCCTGGCCCCAGACCCTGTCCTTCAGACCCCTGTCCCCCAGACCCCTGTCCCCTAGACCCTATCCCCTAGACCCTGTCGCCCAGGCCCCTGTCGCCCAGGCCCCTGTCCCCCAGACCCCTGTCGCCTAGACCCCTGTCCTCCAGACTCCTGTCGCCTAGACCCCTGTCGCCTAGACCCCTGTCACCCAGACCCTGTCCTCCAGACCCTGTCCCCCAGATCCCTGTCCCCTAGACCCCTGTCCCAGACGTCTGTCCTCCAGGCCCTCTCCCAGGCCCTGTTCCCCAGACCCTGTCCCCCAGGCCCTGTTCCCCAGACCTTGTCCCCCAGACCCTGCCCCAGACCCTGTCCCCCAGACCCTGTCCCTCAGATCCCTGTCCCAGACCCTATCCCCCAGGCCCTGTCCCAGACCCTGTCCCCCACACCCTATCCCCCAGATCCCTGTCTCAGACCCTGCCCCCCAGACCCTGTTCCCCAGACCTTTGTCCCTCAGGCCCTCTCCCCCAGACCCCTTTCGCTCAGACCCCTGTCCAAGACCCCTGTCCCCCAGGCCCTCTCCCAGACCCCTGTCCTCCAGACCCTGTTCCCCAGAGCCCTGTCCCAGACCCTCTCCCCCAGGCCTTTGTCCCTCAGACCCTCTTCCCCAGACCCCTCTCCACCAGACCTTTTCCCCCAGATCCCTGTCCCCCAGATCCCTGTCCCCCAGATCCCTGTCCCAGACCCTTTCTCCCCAACCCTGTCCCAGATCCTGTCCCCCAGGCCCCTGTCCCAGACCCTGTCCCCCAGACCCCTGTCCCCCAGACCCTGTCCCCCAAACCCTGTGCCCTAGACCCTGTCCCCCAGACCCTGTTCCCCAGGCCTTTGTCCCTCAGGCCATTTCCCCCAGACCCCCGTCCCCCAGACCTTGTCCTCCAGGCCCCTATTCACCTAGTTCCCAACTCCTAGCTGCAGCCCCTAGCCCTCCTTTCCCCCTCATCTGCAGACCCCTTGTCCCGTCTGGCCTCTCCCAGTTCCTTCCGTGCTCCTGCAGGTGGGCACTGATCTCTTGGACTTGGTCGGTGGTGAGGCTGCCCCATTGCCCTCGCTTCCTCCTGCTCCCTGGTCAGTGGTCGGGTCCCTGTGACCCCAGGCAGCTGGCTGCAACTGTCAGGTTTCTCCTGCGCCTGCTCCGTCCTGGGTCTCAGTGCTATCTGTCGCCTGCAGGCGACCCCTGTACCGTGTCCTCACAGATGGAGCTGGAGGAGGCCTTCCGCCTGGCCTGTCAGCGCAGGGCAGTGCTCGTCTTCCACGGTCAGTGTTGCATCCGGTCGTGCAGGGCAGTGCCGGGCACGCAGGCGTTGGGGCCCCGCAGCTGTCCAACTCTCATGTTTCCTGGGTAGAAGCAAAAGTGCTGGGCCTGGAGTGGCAGAACAGCTGTAGGTGCCTTGCACATGTGACCCGGGTTTGATCCCCAGCCTTAGGGTCCCCTGAGCCCACCAGGAGTGATGGTGCTTCTGGCAAAGGCCGCGCGGGGTCCTGCCCTCAGCCTAGGAACCCGAGCTGATCTCTGTTGCCCTGGTATCCTGGCCTTCAGGTGTTCTAGGCCCTGAAGAGGCAGTGTCAGAGACAGGCCCAGACAGGGGAGAGAGGAGGGGGGATGGGGCCATGGACAGGGGAGAAAGTTGAGGGGGATGGGCCCTGGGCAGGGGAGAGAGGTGAGGGGGATGGCCCCCGAGCAGGGGAGAGATGAGGGGGTCAGGCCCCAGGCAGGGGAGAGAGATGGGTGGATGGGGCCCTGGGCAGGGGAGAGAGGAGAAGGGGATGGGGCCCCAGGCAGGGGTGAGAGGTGGTGGGGGACTGGCCCCGGGCAGGCGGGGAGGTGAGGGGATGGGGTCCCAGACAGGGGTGAGAGGTGGGGGGACAGGGCCCTAGACAGGGGTAGAAGGGGGGTTCTTCCCTGGGTGCTGGTGTCTTCCCAGTGGGAAGCTCAGAGCTGGTCAGAAATTAGGTTTTGGGAAAGCACTTTATTCAGCCCAAGAATTGGGGTTTCTGCCCTAGATTCCCAGTGTTTGGGGTTTTTTTCAGTAACTGGTTGAACGGCCACATCTGTATGTACATCTGTGGTTGGCCTACATGTACCATCCCCCAGGTGTGAGGCCCCCAGGTGTATGACCCCCCTGTCAGGGGTCTCCCCTCAGCCTCAAGCACAAAGGGCTGCAGTTCCAGCCTGAGGGACAGTGAGGGTCAGGGAGGGAGGTGAGGAAGCGGCAAAGCACATCATACACTCCAGGTGTATGATGCCCCAGGTTTTTGGCCCCCAGGCATGCCATCATGCTCCTGGTATGAGGCCCCCAGGTATACCATCCCCAGGTGTAAGATGCCCCAGGTTTTTGGCCCCTGGGTGCATCATTCCCCAGATGTGAGGCCCCCAGGTATATCATCCCCCAGGTGGATGATCCCACAGGTGTTTGGCCCTGAGTGTGTGAGGTCCCCAGGTGTGTCATCCTTCAGCTGTTAGGCCCCCCAAGTGTCAGTGGCCCCCAGCATGCATCCTGGACAGCTGAGCTAAAGCTGGGACCAAAAGGACAATGGCCGGGCAGTGCTTTGCCACTTCCTCACTGTCTCTCCCTGACCCTCACTGTCCCTCAAGCTGGAACTGCAGCCCTTTGTGCTTGAGGCTGAGGGGACACCCCTGACGAGACCTGGCCGTGTGGTGGCAGGGGTTTGGCAAGCCCAGGGCAGCCCTCTGTGGCTTCGGAGTCGACATTGCACCACAAGGCCGAGCTCTGGGCTCCCCTCTGGCAGACAGGGGTGCTGGTGCCACCGCTTACCTGGCTTCTGTCCCCTCTGCAGTCTTCCCGAGCGTCCCTGCACAGCCCGGCCTGCCCTGCCCCGGCGAGGACAGTGAGTACCACAGCCCCTGGACCGGGCCTCCAAGGCTGGTGTCCACTCTGATACCCTCACCTGTGCGTCTGTGCGGGTGTGACTCCGTGGGTCTATGTCTGTTGGCATGTGTGTGTGTGTCCTGGTGTGCCCTTCTGCAGGGGTGTCTGTGGGAGTCTCTGTGGGTCTGTGGGTCTGTGGGTATCGGTGTCTGTGGTATCTGTGTCTGTTAGTCTGTGGGTGTCTGTAGGTGTGCCTGTGTGTGTCTACAGGTGTGTCTGTGTGTCTGTGGGTGTCCCTCAGTGGGTGTGTCTGTGTGTGTCTGTGGGTGTGTCTGTGGGTATCTGTGGGTGTCTGTGGGGATGTCTGTGGATGTGTCTGTGTATCTATGGGTGTGTCTGGGGTGTGTCTGGGGGATGTGTCCGGAGTGTCTGGGGGTGTCTGGGTGTCCCTCTGTGGGTGTATCTGTGTCCCTCTGCATGTGTGAGTTTATGGCTGTCTGTGAGTGCTGTGTGGGTTTACTGTAGGTCACTGTTGCCCTCAGCGGGGCTACCACCTGGGTTCCATGAGGGCCTGAGGGGTCACTAGGAGGGCCTGTGACCCCTAAGGAGATCCAGGACCCTGGGACAGTCTGCGTCTGCCCCTGACCAAGCCCTGCGGCGTCCATCTGCATCTGCCCCTGACCAGGCCCTGCGACGTCCATTATTTTGTTTGTTCATTTGGGGGTCATGCTTGGCAATGTTCAGGACTTACGCCTGACTCTGCGCTAAGGAATTTCTCCTGCTGGTGCTTGGTGGACCCTCCAGGATACAGGGATCAAACCTGGGTCGTCTGCGCGCAAGTCAGGCGCCCTCCCCTGTACTGTTGCTCTGGCCCTCAGTGTTCGTCTGTCTGCCCGGACCAGGCCCCATAACGTCTGCCCGACTGTGCCCTACTGTAGCTGGGGGGGCCAGAGCAGGGGCTGTTGCCTGGTCACCGGCTCACCAGCACAGCGGTCACTCGGGCTCCCGCAGGCCCTCCTGGGGCTGATGGGCTAGTGCTTGTCTCCCCAAGGCTGGAGATGTGCGGTGGCTGCCAAGTGGCAAAAATCAGGGCTGACCCTAGAGGCCCCTGGACAAGGAGGCACGCCCTGCCCTGCCCGGAGCAGCTTAGTCTGGCCCTTCGGATGCCTGGGGGTACTCAAAGGCGGACTGTTTGCTGGCGCACATTCCACAGCCCCTCCCAGGTGGTGGCCAGTGACCTGCTGATGGGGGTGCCCTTCCCTGCACTGCCGACCCAGTGGCTTCTGTGACTGCCCCCAGGCCCCAGCCAGGACACCCCCCACCGGCATGCCCCTGTGCTTGGGCTTGACTTGTGCTCCTTTTCCTTCACTTCCTGCAGCCCTGCCAGGGCCAAGGGTCAGCCAGAAGGTAGGACTGCGGCGGGGTGGGAGAGGCCTTCTCCGCAGAGACCCTTCTGCACTGTCTACTCACAGGCTGTGTGTCCAGACTGCACAGACAGAATGTTCTAGCGCTGAAGGGCAGGCAGGCGGTTCTCTGCGAGCCACTTGTCCCTTGTCCACGCCCTCATTCTGAACTGCCCAGATGACCCTCCACCCACATTCCTGACCAGGCCAGTACCTGCCCTTCCCGGAGCGCTCGTGGGTCAGTGCCCTGCAGGCCAGTGTGACAGGCGTGAGCTGGTCCCTATGACAGATTCTCCCCCTGGGCAGCACTGATTGACATCTGATCTGAGCGGCACAGTTTTCTTCATTTGTTTGGGGGGTCTCTCCTGGCGGGCTCTAAGACCAGGTGCTCTGGGGAGGGAACCCAGTTTCTTATGCTTGGCCTGGGTTCCTGTCTATGGAATTTCTGTTTTTCCTTTTTTGGGCCATACCCAGTGGTGGGGCTGGAGCAATAGCACAGTGGGTAGGGTGTTTGCCTTGCACGCGGCTGACTGGGCTGACCTGAGTTCGATTCCTCCACCTCTCTCGGAGAGCCCAGCAAGCCATCAAGAGTATCTGGCCCGCACGGCAAAGCCTGGCAAGCTACCCGTGACGTATTTGATATGCCAAACACAATAACAAGTCTCACAATGTTACTGGGCCCGCTCGAGCAAATCGATGAACAACGGGAGAACAGTGACAGTGACAGAGACCCAGTGGTGCTCAGGAATTACTCCTGGCAGGCTCCGGGGCCTTTCCAGGGTGGTAGGGATCAAATTGGGTCAGCTGCATGCAAGGCAAATAGAAATGCCTGCCTTACTATTGCTCCAGCCCCAGAACTTAGTTCCATGGAAGCCTGTTTCCCACGTCCTCCCTGGGCTCGGCAACTGCCACATGGACGGGTCCCGGTGTCCACACTGCCAGTGTCTGCTCACGCCCAGCTCGGCGCTGTGGGCTGAACCTGGACTGGACTCGGCGCTGTGAGCTGGACATTGGATAGGACTCGGTGCTGTGGACTGGACATTGGACAGGACTCGGGGCTGTGAACTGGACATTGGACAGGACTCGGGCTGTGGGCTGGACATTGGACTGGACTCGGGGCTGTGGACTGGACATTGGACTGGACTCGGGGCTGTGGACTGGACATTGGACTGGACTCGGGGCTGTGGACTGGACATTGGACAGGACTCGGGGCTGTGGGCTGGACATTGGACAGGACTCGGGGCTGTGGGCTGGACATTGGACAGGACTCGGCGCTGTGGGCTGGAGGTTGGACAGGACTCGGGCTGTGGACTGGACGTTGGACAGGACTCGGGCTGTGGGCTGGACATTGGACAGGACTTGGCACTGTAGCCTGGACATTGGGCTGCAGTCGGTGCTGTGGGTTTGTCTGCATCCAGCTCGGTGCTTGTCCTCACCCTGTGGTATAGTCGTTGGGGTTTTCTGTGATACGTGAACAGAGGTCAGTTCATGGACCCCTTTCCAATCCATAGTCCTTCCCTGGCCTTTCTCGAGAGCCTGTGGACCAAGACTCTCCCAGTCTCCCCCTTTGGTGGGTCCTGTTGTGGACCTGATGCCCTTCTGTGGGGCTTCTCTGGGCTGGGAAGGAACCATGGGGTTTTGTTCTGCGTTGGGCCCAGTGCACCTGAGCCAAGGAGGGGTGAGATGCTGCCCAGACCACAGACCACTGCAGAGGCCACAGGAAAGGAAGATGGCAGGGCTGATGAAGTGTCCCGCTCCCCAGCTGTGCTCACATCCCTCCCTCCCGCGGGATACTTACATCCCCCAGGGTGCTGACTCCCCCAGGGGCGCTCAGGCTCCCTGCATCTCAGGCTCCCTACATGGAGAGAAAGATAGGAAAGCAGACTGGGGGAGCCCAGAGCCCAGTTACTGGGGATCCCTTTCCTAATCCTGGTATCCCTCCCCTGTGCCTATTGTCCTAGTGAAAATCCAGATTCATCCTGCTTTATGCAAATTGCTTGCCACAAACTGGAAAAACTTGTTTTCTACCTGAAATGAGCGGCCTGCCTGGCTGGGGATCAGCTGGGCTGAGGCTGTGGCAGGACCCAGCCTGGCTCCCTCCCCAGACCTGACAGAAAGGCTGGCCGAGTGGAGGGCACTGAAGCCTCAGCACCCAGCCCCGCTCCTGCTCTTCCACACCAGCATCCACACCACAGCGTGACACACTGGCTACACGGCTGTGCCCACACGGCCACAGCCCCTGTGTGTCTGCGCTTCCCTGCCCGTATCCTCAGGTTTGCATTGCTGTGTCCACGCCATAAGCAGGTCCCCGCTTGGGGACCACCTCCGGGTTTCTCCATGGGGCTGGCTGGGAACTCAGGGTGCAGAGGGCTGGGAGCGTGGGACTGGGAGCTGGGGGCTGGGGCATCTGAGGTGTCCTGTCCCCGCTGTCCTCTCTGCCAGCTGTGCCTTGAGCCCAGCGCCCCTGCTGACAGTGCCAGCCTGCCAGGGTGCCCGAGGTGAGACCCCCACCTGGCCGCCCCCACCTCCCCTTCCCAGCCCCAGCCCCAGCCTGGCCTCCCCTGTGTGCGGCTGGAGGCAGCCGCGGCCGGAGGCGGCGCTTGATGCCGTGACGTCACTCCCGGCATCCAGGCCGTGTTTTAGCTGGTGCTCGTCGGCGCTGGCTCCGCTTCCCTGGGGAGCCGGGTACCACCCGGGCCTGGGGACATGAGGAGGCAGGGGCACGAGTGGCGGGGGACTGGACGACCAGCCTTCCTTTAAATACCTCCTCCTTCTCCTCGTGGGGCCCCCATTGTGGCCCAGCAGCGGTGAAGACGGGGAAGATGCCCGTGAGCATGCCCACCCCATAGAGCCGCCCGCAGAGAGGCAGGAGAAAGCGGGTGAGCACAGGCCGCGCCGGGTGGGGGTGCAGGGTTGGACGGAGGCTGCTCCCTGGGAAGGGGGGTCTGCCTGCCTGGGAGGTGCCTTCACCCAGCCCACAGCTCCTCTCCCTCCCCTTCCTCCCCTCCCTCCTCTCCCTCTCTCCCTCCTCTTCCTCCTCTTCGTCTCTCTCTCCCTCCCCCTCCCCCCACCCCCATCCTGTGCTCAGTCCCGAGTGGCTGCAGGTGGGGGTCAGCTCCCGGTGAGGCCTGCTGCCTGCTGGCCCCTTTCAAGCCCCCGCAGCCGGCACTGATGCTCAGGGCTGTGGTGCCCGAGGCCTTCGGAGGTGCTCGGAGGTAGACCCGGATGTGTGGGGCTGCGCCGTCCGGAGAGCTGTGGGAAGGGGCACTTCCCTGACGTCCATTTTGCAGGTTGTTTTCTGTGAAATGACAACATGGACAGCAGCGGACAGCGCCCCCACCCCCTGCCGGGACCACTGGGACGGGGGCTGCTGAGGGGCTGGCACGTGTGGGGTGCTGCCTGCAGGAATCCGCTGTGTCATACTTCCCCGTGCCTCACGCCGCCTCCCTGGCGGTGCCCTGCAGGGGACGGAGCCACCTTGGCCTCCCTCACTGGGTGGGTGTGATGGGCTGTGAGCAGGGGGCAGACAGGGAGCACTTGTCCCCCCAGAACACCCAGCAGTGCTGCGCTGAGGCCGTCAGGCGGGTCCTGCCTCCTCCACGTGGAGACGGTTCTGGTCTCAGCAAGGCAGTGCCACTGGCCACCCCTGCCTGTCAGTGACAGTCTCCGTGGCCTGGCGGGAGTGACCAGGGGCCCCTGTGCAGCCTCTGGGTGCCGACAGGGTTTGGTGGTCCCGGCTCCTGCTTGCCGCACCCCCCAGGAGGGAACAGGGGGTCCTCAGGGCACACTCCGGGGCTGGGCAGGGCACCTGGCCATACCACCCTGTGCCAGCTTCCTGGGCCGCCCCCAGCACTTCCGGGGGCAGGTGCCACGCTGCCCCCTCACAGCCTTTTGGAGGGGGGGGCGGCTGCGCCTGGCAGCCGCCGCCTCACACTCCCTTTTGACCTGACCTATTTCCACCTGGGTGTTGGGGGTCTGGTGTGAGTTTGACGAGACAGAGCAACCTGGGAGCTCAGCCCCGGGGGAGGGCACTGTGTGCTGCGCGCCCACCTGTGTCCCTTTCCTGTCTTCCCGGGAGGTTGAGGGTTCCGTCTCGTTTGGGTTTCCCAGGCTCCTAGGCCTGGCCCAGCCGCTGGTCAGACTCCCTGAGAGTGTGCATGTGGCACTAGCGTGGCCGGAGAAGTTTCCCCAGGTGTTCTGAAGAGACAGTGTGGCTGTGTGAGTGCACGTGAGCACATGTGTACATGTGTGTGCTCTGGGAGCATGTGTTTGCGTGTGAGTTTCTGCTGAGCATAGCATCTGGCCCTGCCTGTGCTTTCAGGCCTGTGGGGGCGCGCAGGCCCTGCCAGCCAAGGCGGCCTCCCCCCGGCACCCCGGCAGCCCTGCCCTGTCCTGCTGTCTGTCTGGGAGATGCTGAGCTTCCGCTCCCTTGCACACACATGCCCTGGACTCCGGGCGCCAGGCTCTCGTGCCCTTTGTTGGGCCCAGGTGTTGAGGGCCGACTTGGTGCATTGAGGTTTGACAGGAAACCGGCCTTGGGAGCACAACCAGCCCGCACCCCCCGTGCCCCACCACGCTGCACGGCATCTGGACACGCATCTCCCTCTGTCCTGACTGTCTGAGGCTTGGCTGTGGGGTGATGGCCCCTGGGCGGCCTGTCCCTGTTGGGGGTTTGCCCAGCTTGCTGTGACATCCGCTCCTGTTTGCTGTTCCGGCTTCCAGTCAGTTCCACACCTTCCTTCCAGCCTGGCCCCGACTGGTCACTGCCTCAGACAACAGGCTCCCATGCCTTTTCCCAGCGCTGCAGTTGGTGGTGACCACCGAGCCAGCACCTTGTGGGTGCCTGGGGCGGGGCGCTGTCCCCCTCTGGCTGTCCTGGCTCAGTGGCTGCCCAGTGCCCTAGCCCCTGCCCAAGCCCAGCTTCCACTCCGGGCATGTCCCCAGAGCCCCCAGGACTTCAGGCAGGTTTCCCTGCTGCATCCCTGCTCCTGTCACCCGCCCCCAGAGTGCCGGGACATATTTCTCTCCCACACGTGGTTCCCTCCTTCCAGGCGAGTGGCCATCTGTCCTTCCTCCCTGGACATGGCTGACCGTCCAACCAGCAGAGCAGGCTCATGGCTCCTGAGGGGCTGGGGTGGGACTCAGATAGGTTCCACCCTTTCTGTCCGCCTCCTCCATGCTGCACACCTGGTCTGTGCTGTGACTTCAGGGTGCCCATGCCCGACCCTCATCCTCCTGGTGCCGGAGCAGGGCCAGGGCTGAGCTGCCTCCAACTGACTCTTCAGCCTCTTCATCCTGCTCAGAAAGAGCTAGGGACCTGCCCCACACCTTCCTGTGCCCCTCCCTTCCCACCCCTCCTCTGTCCCCTCCCCCTCCTAACCCCTCCCCTTTTCTGTTCCCTCCCCCTCCTGACCCTTCTTCTGTCCCCCCTTTGGCCCCCCTCCCTCTCCTTGTCCCCCACCTCTGCTTCACCTTCATCTTTATAAGAATAGTAGGGGCTGCATGCACGTATGTGCTGTCCAAGTGGCTAAGTGTAGGTGAACGTTCATCCGTGTCTCCTGCATGACCACATATGTGTGTGACAGCGTGTACATGTGTGTGGGTGTATGTGTGGCTATGTCCACTGTGAGCACACATGTGAGTATATGTGTGCCTTGTAGCTATTGCCTGTGAACTCATATGTACATCTGTGTGCCTACATGTACACGAGTGTCTGTGTGAGTACACATGTATGTGTAAGCATGATACTTTTTGCTAACTTGTCTGTAAGATAAGATTGAGGATAAACTAGGAATCATAGTCAAGGACTGTTTGTTTCTTTCTCTGGTATTTGGTTGAGATTTGTGCTCAGGGCAGACTCCAACTCTGCTCAGGGATCCCTCCTGCCTGACTCGGGGGACCATCTGGGTGCTGGGGATTGAACCCAGGTTGTCCACATTCAAGGCAAGTGCCCTCCCCACTGTCCTGTCCATTCGGCCGGCACGGGATTTTTTTTTTCTTTTTGGGTCACACGTGGTGATGCTCAGGGGTTACTCCTGGCTCTACACTCAGGAATTACTCCTGGCGGTGCTCAGGGGACCATATGGATGCCAGGGATCGTACCCAGGTTGGTCGTGTGCAAGGCAAATGCCCTTACCATTGCGCTATCGCTCTGGCCCCCAGGATCATTTTAAATTTGCTAGTGTCTCGGCACACGAGAGGCACTGCTGATTAGACTCGCCGCTGGAGAGTTTCACGGCGTGACTTGGTTTCTTCCTCTTATTCTTGAGTGGAAGTTCTGCTCTCTCTCCTGTAGTGAACCCTCAGAGATTCCCTCCTCTCTCCTGTGATAGAGCTGTTAGAGCCTGAGCACACGCGACTCCCTGGGCTCCACTGCACCATGTGGACACTTCTCCAGGCTGCACGGCAGGCTGGGACTCGGGTCCATGTTTCTCCGGGCCTGGTGGCAGAGGTGCTCGGGGGGGTGTGATCCATGGGGTGAAGAGAGCCAACCCATTGGTGGGCCAGGACTTGTCTGCCGGCCTTTGCGCTCGCCCCTGTCTGTGGCCACAGGGGTCACATGTGCAGGGCAGACCCATGTGCAGGGCAGACCCTTGACCTCACACCCCCACCCGTCCCCCGAATTCTCTTATTCCTAAGACTTTTGGAGGCCACACCAGATGGAGCGGGATGACCTGATATGGTTCTCGGGGTTGAGCCCGGGTCATGGCTACAGCCTTTGCCTCCCCAGCCCCCATTCAGGCTATTTTTAGAGCAATTTTAGGGTCACAGCAAAATTGAAATGGAACAGATTTCCCACGTGTTCCCCCGTGAGGCCCCCGTCAGCATCCCCACCAAACTGGGTTCCGTGACCATCAGCAGAGGCCAGAAGGGATATGAAGGTGCATGCTTGGGACTGTGTGCTCTGCGTGTTAGACTAGTGTGTGATTCTGTGTTCATGTACCACGTATGTGCTATGTCTGTGCTCAGGCACCGTGGTGCCATGTCAACTCACGTACCATGCTTATGCTGTGCCTGTTCTCATGTGCTACGCCTGTGCCTCTGCTTGCGACTCAGCAGAGCCCTTTCTCTCGGGCGCCTGCCCCTCTCCGCTGTGCCAGTTCTTAGAACTCCCTGGAGCCGGCCCCTGGGCACAGCCTCTGCACAGTGTCTCCCCACTCTTGTGGGACCGCACTTGGGTGCTGTGGGCGGCCACTCTCGGCCTTGGTGCTGTCCGGCAGATGCACTTGCTCTCCCGTCCCCTCTGAAGGGCATCTCGGCTGCATCCGGGCCTCCAGGCACTCATCTCTGGGGCCCAGTGCCTGCTGGTCAGGCAGGTGCCATGTGCCCAGTGCTGACCGCCCAGTCCCTCGGGCTCCCTTGCTCCCACCGCTTACAGGCAGCTCTGAACGGGTCAGTGACCTCACTGATAGGGTCAAGCGTGTTCAGGGCTACAGAGGACCCCCTGGAACCACAAGGTAGCCACCTGTGACAGTGACACCTACGGTCCTCATGCTAGCACTCAGAAGACCTGGGGCTCTTTAGCAAAGGGACACCACAGCGTCCCTCCCCTCCACCCCCAGGCCCTAACAGCCCAGGATGTCCTGTGCTTGGCCATCGGGAACTCTGAGGGCTTTAGACACTCGCTTTCCTGGGGCAGAGCAGTAGGGCAGTGGGGCATCACCGGCCAGAGTCACCGTTCAAGGAGCTGGCGGCTCCTGTGTCCGCCCGTTGGTGGCAGCTCACTGCCTCCTGCTTAGGGGTGTAGCCAGCAGCGACCCGCAGAAGGAAAAGTGACCGCCAGACAGAACTGGCCACACAGGGTCACGCAGGAGCACACTGGCCTGGGGGCAGGGCTGGCCTGGGGCCTCAGCCGACTCAGTGCCTGGCACGGCTGCGG